TACAGCAATAATTGGGGAGGAAAATCACATATAAATAAGGGGAATCAGCACGTTACCATGATCCAGAAAAGTGGGAGATTCCTTGGAGAGTGTGGACCTCTCGAATGTCCATTGCTCTTATGAATTTTCCTTTTTATTATTGAATATAGAATCTGCTTATCTTATAGCAGATTCACTCTTTTGTGATCTCCGTTTATCAGTGGAAATTCTCATAATAAAATTCTTGGAGCTATCAATATGCTCTTCACTTTGATGTGTTACAAAGAGCTTTACCTCAAGGCATTGCAATATTCTAGCTAACCATCTCAAGATTATAATATCACATAAGGATTTGAAGTATTATTTTTAAATCGTATGTCACTTTTTCTTTCTTTGGAATGGAAGCTACATCTCTTCGACTTCTTAGAAGTCACTTCTGGTGATATCATTGTTCAATAGTGTAAAGAGGGGAATTTGCTATTTGTTTAATGAATTAGGAATGATTGCTTGTACCTTTTTTTTTTTTTTTGGTTTCTTTTCTTTTCTGCTCAATGCCCATTGCAATAATCATTTCCACGAACTTGCTTAATTTGTTGTAAAAAACACTGATTAGTATCGGATAGATTGATTGTATAGCCTTATGCCAGGCTGATATTTCTTGCCGTGAGAGAAGCTGATTTGTGGAGGTGAAGAGTAGACTGAATTTTTTGCTCAACCTTTATGTGCATTTCAAGGTTCTTATGCTGTATTAAGAGAACAAGTGTAGTGTAAACTTTCATATCTTGGAACCAAACTAAGCCTTTCTCCCAATAAATTTATGTTTCGATACACGAATCCTTTTCGGCTTTCTCCATTTTGTCCACTTCTGGATCTACAGAAAAATCTAAGCAACTAGATACATTGCTGAGACAAGCATATATGTATAATACGAAGCATTTTTTATGTTTTTACCATGCTTTACCTGATGGATAATCTTCACAGATCTTTTAGCTGACATTGTTCTTACCATCCCTTTTTGAATGTGGTCAAGTGGTGCAGTCAACTTGGCCAGTTCCCTCCTTTCTTTGATGTCACGAGGACTGGTTCACCCCCTTTCTTCTGTTCAAGGTCAATCAAGAGTGCAATAATATGGAAAGTTGGTGAGCTTCTTGATTGCGCCTTAACAGGTTAAAAGGTGTAGGAGTGTACTATAAATTTACATCCTCTCCCTGTCTGAGAACAAAAATTGTTGAAACTTCTTATTAAATATAGACTTGTGTGCTTAATTTGAGCCTGAGTACTTCTGGGTACCATTGAGAATCCAGATTTCTTAGGATCTGCACCTCTTTCTCCTGTCTATATGACTCATTTATCCTTGCTTTACAGAATTTGCAGTGCGGGGAGAGTGTGACAATTGAAGGCCGAACTTATACAGTTTCATCTGTAACTCATCGTTACCAGCTCCGAAAAGGAAAGTACGAACCTAGCGAGAAAAGGCTTGACGTATTGTCAACTGGAAGATACATAGTAAATTTGTATTTGGAAAATTTGCTTCAACAATCTTGATATTTGTTTTCGTTGGAGATGGGTTTTATGTACATTGTCGTGAAAAAGTGAAACGGAACTCATTAGTTAATGTGTAATAAATTATTTAGGTAGTTACATATTTTATTGGGTATTTTGACTCGTGATATGACTTACAAGTTACAAGTCAGTTATTGATCACATTTTATTAAAATAAATCACTCTAAAAGCATTTCCAAAAAAACTCTCTATTTTAAAAAAAAAAATATTCTATGATTTGGAGAGGATCTATAAATTTGGAGAGTTAAAATTTTGAAGTGATTCAAAAAAACTCTTTATATTATATACTTAATTTTACTACTCCTAAAAAATATTTATTATTTTTTTCTATCATTTATTTTAACTAGCTTTTTTTAAGATTATTTTCTTATTTTTCTACATTAAAAATTGAAATACTTTGAATGCATTTAATTATTTAGAGTGAGTTTGACTCTATAGTAGCATGATTTTAAAGATTGTCTCTTTAAACTAGACAGCATACCATATTTAAAGAGTTCTTAAATATTCTAATTGGTATGTTTTAAATTGTTGATGAAAGCTTCTATATGGTCAAGAGTCATAAATTGATCTCAACATGAGGGGGTTCGAAGCAAGACAAGTTCCCTCGACTGGCATTTTCTCGCCCCGTACCGTCCCAATTACCAGTTTAAGGAGGGTCGAGGACGGGGCGATTGTCCCGTTTACCTACGCATTAATTTTTTATAATTTTTGATAATTCATTTTGTTATCCCCATTCATTCAAATGAGACAATAATATAATTATTAAAATTTTTATAATTTATTTATATTTAAAAGTTAAATTATTCAAATATATTTGGTAAACTAATGTTTTTATTGTTTATCACATTCCTTAGATAATCTTAGTAGCTATTTTCTATTAGAATTAATGAAATTTCGGGAAACTTTTTCATTTAAAGTATTAAATTCTTTTTAAAAATTGAACGGGGTGGGCAGGGCCCCGTTACCCGTACATGCTCTGATTACCCGATTAAGCGGGTAATCCCGCTCCTTTCGGGGCGATGCCCACGGGTATTAGGTTTGATGAATATTTTTGTCATCCCAAATTCAAGGAAATAAATTTTAGAAACATAATAAGCTGACGCATGGATGTATTAAGAGAAAGTCATTAGTTTTATGATTTGAGATTAACAAATATGATCTCAACTCTGTGAGAATCAAGTATGATTTACATTAATTTATGTAACAAGGTCATAAATTTATTTTAAACAATGATAGCATATTTAATTTAATCAAAAACCATATTAAATAATATGATGCATCTTTTTATATATATTAATTCTTTTAATTTCGTCATTTATATCTTTAAATTATGAGTAACCATATAAATTTGAGAGCTATACTAAATGCCAATAAATTGTGCAGGTTAAGTTTTTTCTATTGACACCGCAATCTGAGAATTGTTCTCCAGTATGGAAAAATTGGTATGCACTTGAGCAACCATTTCTAGAGACACCCACCGAGGACTTGACTAAGTAATAGGTAGCTACTTATAATAAATACAATGATGATGATAATATAGTAAAATGTGTTATGCTTGCAGGTATGTCACTTGAGTTGCAAAAGCAACATGAGGGTATGAATGCTAATATTATGATTTTTCATCTCAAAAAGCTCTATGATGAATAATCACGTGTGGAAAGATATGAGACTTCCAAGCAACTATACATGTGTAAAATGATAGAAGGATCTTTAGTCAGTGCTCATGTACTAAAGATGATTGACTATATTAAGAAGTTGTTTTAATTGGGGTTTAATCATAGACCATGAACTTAGTATCGACTTGGTATTGCAATCTCTGCCAGAGAGCTATTCATGATTTATTATGAATTTGAACAAGAATAAGTTCGAGTGCACATTTTCTAAGTTGTTGAACATTTTTAAGACTGTTAAACCCAACATCAAAGCTAGTAATAGGCAAGTTTTGGCTATTAAATTCCTTAAAGAAAACTAAGAGGGAGTCTAAAAAAGGTTTTGGGAAAGCAACTAAGATGGCTAAAACAGTTAAAGCAGATAAGGACATTATCAAGTCTGATAACCCTTGATATCATTGCAAAATGAAAGGTTATTGGAAGAGAAACTATAAGATTTATGTCTACTTCCTTATTTGCATGTTGGAAATATAGCAAGGATTGCCACGTTACCTATAGGAACATGCTTCCTACCATTACCTTCAAGTTTACTATTAGAATTAGAGAAATATTATTTTGTTCCGACCATTTCGAAGAACATTAATTCAATCTCATGTTTGGACATGAAGTTTTAATTAATGTTAGGGCAATTGTTGTTCGTTTTATCTTGATAAGATATTTTATGATTGTGATAAATTATAAAACGGTATTTACATCCGAGATATTAAGTACTCTATGATGAGTATAGAAATTAAAAGGAATGAAAGTGATAACCTAAATAATACATATACCTAGCATTGAAGACTACGTCACATAAATCAAAAAGACATTTTTAAATTACATTTAGATGGATTTTTGGAGTTAATTGATTTTGAATCATATGACAAATGTGAAACATGCCTACTAGTCGAGATGACCAAATCTCCTTTTACTGGAAAAAGAGAAGGAGTTGTACAATTATTGGGCCTAATACATATTAAAGTATGTGGACCCATGTCAATTGATGTTAGAGGAGGTTTCTCTTACTTTATCATGTTTACTGATGACCATTTGAGATATGATTATATATACATGATGAAATTTAAGCATGAAGCTCATAAAAAGTTGGAATTCAATCAAGAAGTAAAGAAACAACTAGGAAAATGTGTTCTAAAAATAAGATCAGATTGAGGTGGAAGATATCTTAAAAAGATTTTTCAGATTATTTAGAAGAAAATGAAATTCTCTTGCAGTGGACTCTGCTACATACATTGCAACATAACGATGTATCTGAGAAGAGAATCGTACACTATTAGATACGGTACGATCACTGATGAGCCATGCAAATCTCATAAAATAGGCTTGGGGTTGTGCACTAATTTCTGTGTGCTACATACTAAATCGTATCTTATTTAAATCAATTGACAAAACTCCATATGCATTGTGGGAAGGAAGAAAGCCTTATTTGTCTCATATTAATGTTTTGGTTGTGACGCTTGTATGAAGCACACTAAATCGGATAAGCTAGAGTCTAAGTTTAATAAATGCATATTTATAACATATTCAAAAGAGACAACTGGATGTTAATTCTATAATTTCATTAAGAAAGTCTTCATCTCAAAACATGATGTCTTCCTAGAGAAAGAGTTCATTTTAGGATAGGACAATAGGAGCAAAATAGAACTTGCACAAGATATAGTTGTCAAGTAGATAAACCTGAGTTTGATCTCACACCTGTTGAGGGACAAACTCTTGATCAAGAAGCAGAGACTTATGAGGACACTCCGAACATAAGTCTAGTCGGATCATTTGACCTCCTAGTAGATACAAATTCACAATTACTAATCAAGGATAATGAACATACTAATTATGTAGAAGCAAAGTTAAATACTGACTCAAAGAGATGGTAGGAGACCATAGAATATGATATGAACTTGATGTAAACAACGTATGGACCTTAGTCCACCCGTCTGATGGAATAAGATCTATAGGCTATGAATATATTTACAAGGAAAAAGTTGACATGCATGGAAACATTTATACATACCAAACATGGCAAGTAGCAAAAGGTTATAAACAAAGACAATGAGTTGACTTTGATGAAACATTTTCACATATAGCCATGCTTAAGTCCATTTGAATTTTGCTTGCAATAACTGTATACAAATGTATGTCAAAACTACATTCCTAAATGGAATTTTATGAGAGGAAATGTACATGATACAACCGATGGTTTTAGATCCGAAAATGCTAACAAGTTATACAAGCTTGATCAATCCTTATATGAATTGAATCAAACCTATAGAAGTTGGAATATTCACTTTGATGAGACAATCAAAATGTTTGATTTTATCAAAATTGAAAACAAACTGTGTGTTTACAAGAATCAAATTGAAGCGTTATCATGTTCTAATATTATAAATAAATGACATTGCACTGATTGGAAATGACATCTCTATGTTCCAATATGTAAAATTGTGGTTGTCAGAAAATTTCTCCTTGAAAGATATGGTAGAAGTAACTTGATCTATAGAGATAGATTTAAAAGATTGTTTGACTCATCCCAATAAACATAGTAAAATTTTAAAAAGATTTTATATGAAGAAGATGAACTGAGAGTTCATGAATACATTGATGCTAACTTCTATGTAGACTAGGATGATAATGAATCTCTATATGATTATGTGTTTACTTTTAATAATAAAGCGGTTAGCTGGAAATGTTCCAAATAGGAAACAACCATTGATTAATTGTAGAAGCTTAATACATCACCATTTCCGAAGTAACAAAGAGTTGTGGTCTGGATCATCATTAAACTTGAAATAATTTCTAATATTGTTTGATCCCATACATGTGTATTATGATAACAATGGAGTCATCGTGCAAACTAAGGAACTAAGGTTTCATGAATGATCCAAATATATGCTAAGATAGTATAATCTCATCAGAGATATAATACAAAAAATGACATAAAGAAAAAAAAGAGTTCTCACAAGTGATAATTTGCAAATCCACAAACAAAGAGTTGTCACAGTATAAATATGATCGTTATATAGACTCGTATGATTTTAGATATATAAGTGATTGGATCTAGTGCAAGTAGGAGTTTCTAAGTATTATACTCTAGGTCTAATCAATTTTGGACGTGAACATTTTTTATGCAATTAATACATTATTATTTATGGCAGATCTATTATTTATTTGAATAATTATGCTGATAATTTAAATTAATAGAATCCATAAATTCAAATTTTAGTAATTTGTTAATCAGAAGGAGTGTTGAGAGTGAAAAACAAATTACATATACCTGAATCTTAAATTATCCATGATCGTAAGTAATATCGAGATACGAATATTATTATTAAGGTTAGACCAACATGTGTCACTACAAAAAATAAAAATAAATAAATAAATTGCATCTAGCGACCGAAATTAATGGTCGCTAAATGTTATTTCTTGGTTGCTGGAG